GAGAGAGAGAGAGGGAAGCGGGAAGGGAGGGGGGACGGAGGGAGAGATGGATATCACAAAAAAATGGGAAAGAGAAAAAAGAAAAGACTTGTCATCTTTGAGAAGCAAACCTTTAAATCATCATAACGCCCAGAGGGTGGGTTAGCAGCAGCAAGTACAGATGTTCTAGAGTTAAGGACAGTTGTTATTCCAGCTTTGGCAATGGATATGGTTTGTTGCTCCATGGCTTCATGGATGGCAACTCTGCAACAAAGAAATCAGCATGGGCCCTAAGTTCAGGAAGCCAATAGAAGTCCTATTGTTATTTTATAAAATGAGGCACTTAAACACCATGAGAGGAATATCATCAATGCCAAGAAAAAAATTACCGGTCTTCCACTCTCATTTTGTCAAACTCATCAATACAAACAACTCCACCATCTGCCAACACCATGGCACCTCCTTCAAGATAAAATTCCCGCTGCAAAAAGGAAAAAAGAAAGAAGATTAAAAAAAAAAGGAACCTAAAGGTAAAAATGTATTCCAAAATCAACTACAGAACCCAAGTGAGTAAGCAAATCAAAGAAGGAATAAAACTCAAGAAACCCAGACAACATATTTGATTTCAGCCAGATTCAGCTGAAACATTTTGTACTTGTCATAGACCGAAGGGAAACAACTAACAAAAGCATTTTAGAACAATGGAACCCATTTTCCCAACAGAATTGGCTGAATAAAGCCATTTTTCTTTTGAGATGGTTCAGAAGGTTGGGTGCTTCAGTTCCATGTAAAAAACAAATGATTTGGTCAATCTAATTTTGAAATAAATTTGGCCAATATTTATTTTTCCTCTACCTTTTCAAGATCTTTTTTTTTTTCTCAAAAATCCTAATGTTTCATTGAATAATCACTGAAGTGTTTTATTTCAGCCAAAAAATGGAACTGACAAGGTGAATTCAACAACAGTTTTGCTACTGAACATACTCGATATTCTGATTAATAAAGTTTAGGAATCTACCGAGCTGCTGTCACGAATAACAGAAGCAGTAAGACCAGCAGCAGATGAACCTTTTCCAGAAGTATAAACAGCAATAGGAGCAGTCTTCTCAACGAACTTGAGAAACTGAAAGAGCAAGAAATTCATAATATATGAGTTATCTCAAGGTTCATCAGAATGTTCCAAGGACCATAGGAAAGCTTCATCTGAAAAAAAAAACAAGGGACTAATATATAACACACAAAAGCAGAAATTAAATGTTAATCAAAGAAAAAAAGTTAATAAAGAAACAAAAAAAGAAAAAAAAGACAAATAGCTTAGGCCAGAAAAAAGTTTGAAGACAGCTAAAACATGAGCAATTTAGTCAATATGCACTACATATGTTCAGTAAATTGCAATTCATATTTCCTTAAACAAGCAACGCGACATCACAATGATCCTTTATCCATCCAACATGATGTGTGCTAGACATGGAGTCATAGAGGACTAACAATTTGAGCCAACAACTTCAAGATAGCACCCACAACGAAACATGCACCCACAACGGAACATACACCCACTTGGGAAAGTCTACCACTGTTACATTCCAGTAGTTAGATGCAATTCAATTGTTGCTCGGTTACCTTCCTTTTGGGAATCAATAATCAAGTTTGCACATATTGTAATTTCATAAATACCATTTTATACTATAAAATGAAAGTAATGAGTATGAAGGGACAAAGATTCCTTTGCGGAGCTGGTTATTTGTTTGATAAAATTTCACAGACATGTAATATTTCTAATGATAGCAATTTGTTTGATCAACAAAGGAGTAGGTTTGAGTGCTTTTTGTAGTTAAGAATATGTTATTGGAGTAATCAGATTATTTTCTATTTAGATGGACGGATCTGATAGTCCTGAGAGGTGGTCTGTCTTTTAGTTCACATGTTTTTTATCAGATCCGTGAGAGGTGTCTGTCTTTCAGTTTACAAGCACCTAATATGATTAGGCAGCATTTTAGAAAGAAAAGATCAAGTTGTCCATTTTAATTGTCACCATGATGTCTCCCTTCACAGAAGTAACGGCCCATTTTACCTTTATAATTCATTGATAGGAACTGGTAGAATTTATGGCAAATTGGCCAGGAAGTAATCTATCCTTTGAAAAGCCTACTAACCATACAAGAAGATATTACTTCAGTTCATCAATCATGGAAAGCCCGAATGATGAGAAGATCACCAAGAGTGCTTCCAAGTAATATTAATCTGAAAAAGCCTACTAACTATACAAAAAGTTATTACTTCAGTTCATCAATCATGGAAAGCCTGAATGATGAGAAGATCACCAAGAGTGCTTCCACGTAATATTAATCTGAAACCTATTAGCACAACAATAGAAAATTGAAAGAATGCCTATGCATTTATTTCTGTAACATTCTCTGGAACATGGTAATGCTGACTCATGAACTTGTGACCTGCACAAACACCTTGTTTTTAGCTGGGAAACTGTTTAGATGATATCTGAATAAGCCCAAGCTCTATTAAAGAAAAAAATTAGTGCACATATCATGCCTGAATATCCAATTAAAGCTAGTATATTTCGTTATTTTAACTGTAATACAGACCTGCGATTTTGCAGTAGATGGATCTCCAAGAAGTAGAACATTAATGTCTCCTCTTAATCTCACCCCATCCGGCAATTTCTGCATATGCCAATGAAAGTTAAATGAAATGACAAAAATATAATCTCCCTGTGAAATCCTAAAAACAAGGTCAATGTACCTTCCTTGACCCTCCAAATAAGAGGCAAGCTATGGCTTTCTTCACATTGTCATGACCGAATATGGAAGGTGCAATCATAGAGCAGATCCTCGCATAGGAGTCTCGCCTTTGAGCAAATTCTAGAAATTCTTTTTTCTACATACCCAAGAGTCAATTTGTCATTGATAAAACAGATTTAATTCTAAAAAAAAGCAAATGTTTAGTTAAATTAAAAATAGCGATTTCTTTTACTTAGGTGCCCGAATAAGAATTGTAGGACGAAATTCTAATAGCATATCCTTTCCTTTCATCAGATAATTGATTATATGGAAAAAGGGTGAAAAACTAAAAGAAAGAATATAATGTATTGATCTAAGTTGTAACAAATAAGTCTGGACAACACCGTATTCATCAAATACAGGCGCAACATACCTCATCTACTGTGAAGGAAGAAAGACCTCCAGAGTTTGTATCATGGTCTTGATCTATGCCTACAACTCTGATATAGGGCTGTCTGACTGCAACTGCACCTTTTTGGCTGCACCAATCAAGTCCTCAAATGTGAGTCTTTGGTGATAAAGCATTAGTCGAATATGAACTTGCATACAAATCTTACACAGCAGAGCCGCTTGCTTGATATATACTGTAAATTCCCATGATGGTCAGTCTTGTGCCAGGCACAATTGTTTGAACGAGGTGGCGATCCAAAGAAAGTAGCGTGTTGCGAGGCAGCTCCCCAGTAGGGACATCCTACCATAGCAAACATCCATAAAAATAAACAGAGGAAAAAAATAAATCAACAAGAAACCAAATGATACAATTATGATAATTTTCATGGCACAACACAACATTGATGAAACACAGAGCTGTGTTCTGAAACCTAAACCAGATTATTGCATGCATTTTTCCTGTTCACTACTTTATGCTTGTCGACAAGGAAACTTCAGATAAGGTAATACAAAAAGTTCACCGAAATTCCACCTTGTTATAGGAACTCATTGTCTTGGAAACTTGTCTACAGGAATTGTAGTTTACAGGAAAGCAACCATCATTTGAAAGAGCTAAAGATAAAATCAGCATCCTTGGGCATACTCCTTTAGAAAGAGTTCTTTGACCAATCCTTATTTTCAGTTAAAAATTAAAGTACTTGGTAGCTTCATTTCTTTTTCAAATTAGAGTTTATTGTGGTTAATTGGATGAAACATAACAATCATGAAATTGATGAGACCTCAAGGAAATGGTACAAATCTCTTCTATGATCATTCAGTTTTAATCAAAACTTTTTTAGACATATTAAGAAGCTCATGCATGGTATATATTAAATTTTAAATGCTCTAAGCGACAGGCTGGATTCGTGAAACAAGAGAGTCATTCAATATAAGTGACGGAAATAGTAGATAAGACTTGTTCGATATTTGGATAAAAATTGAGACAAAAAAAAAAAACCTCATTAAAGAAAAGCAACAATATGAATTTATATTGTTGCTTTT